TGCAGAGAGAGAAAAACACCAGCGATGGAGCTTTAGGTTCACAAATGCTGTATATCCGGTGTGTGTGAATGACTCCAGCACAGAGGGCCCCATATGGGTGATGCATGGGAGCCATTTTTGTTCAGAAGCGCTGATCCAGGGCGAGTCTCTCTTTTTTTTAGAGGGAATTCCTCCTGCCTGGCTGCTTTGATACAGGCTGGCTGGTTGTATTTACATACATACAGTAACAAGGAAGCCTGCACCAACGGCAGAAGAGGAAGCTGATTTTTTTTTCAGCAGAACTCGCGCTAGAGAACTGAAACGAGCTGATGCAACTAGTTACGGTTGGAATCTGCGTCTGAGCAGATGCTACACAAGCTTTTCAGCCACCTTACAAATTATTTCTAAGGCTGCAGCCAAATATTGTTTCTGTTTTTGATAAATCTACTGACTATTTTCTCAACTTGTCAATTACGTGATCTATAGAGTGTCAGCAAATAGCAAAAAAATAATAAAGAAATGCACATTGTATGCTCTTAAAGGGAAGCTACACCCATTTTCAAAATCTATATATGTAATTCCTATGGTCTAAGACAGTCTCAAACATGTTATATCATAGGGTATAAAGTCTGGAGCTAATCCATGGACAATGACTTGGGAAAGATGTTCTAAATGACACTGAGAGCAGCCAGGAGAATGTTCTGAGTATATGGGCACATTTTCTGTCTAAGTAAAAATGGAAACACTACCATAGAATAAAGCTAATTTGGGTATAAAAAAGGAAATAAAGACTCTGAGGGTCCAAGATATCAGGCTCCCATTCACTGTCTGTGGTGTCCAGACTTTATACCCTATGACATCACAAGTATGAGATGTACTTCTCTGGTTTCTGGCTTTGAGAGCGAGAAGCTCATGTTCACAAATAACAGATAACAGATAATGATCATATTTTCCCAAGACATAGAACAAATAGAATGGAATTCTTAATTTAGGTGGTGTTCCCCTTTAAAACATCTTGTTTTAACTGACAAATAGTCCAAAACCCCCAAATACAGTATTTCTTTTACTACAGGAGAAAATATTCACATTTGAGAAGATGAACCCAGTTAACCAAATATCAAAACAGTGGGTGATTATTTAAATAATAAAGTAATCGACTAATTATTCCAGCTGTACTTATGTCTGGCACAGCTGTACTAGGGAAAATATGTTTTGGCATTTCTCAAGATGAACCTCAGGTCAAGATTTACCAAAGAAAACAATGTGTTGTACAGTTTCTGTAAAATTCTGTCACGAGTGTTTCATCAAACTGACCTCATCCAAACAATAGCAGTGCTGAGGACACAGTTGGGGCATTTTAGTCTGTACACAAATGACCATCAGTTGCAGAATATTGCCAATCCTGTTTGGATAAACCGCTCCATCCAAAGTGTTGGCTGCAGCATCTGGTGCAAAATGAAAGCAGGAGCCACCATGGCACATACAAACACCATCAAATGAGAGCAATGACATGCTTCTTTTAACTCCTTCTCCTCAATAAAGATCATTCATCAGGCAGAACCATCCCTCTGGAATGTGTGATTGGAAATCGGGGTCTTTAAATCCCTGTCCAGGACACTCCATCCATCTTCAACACGCCAGTGGTCTGGACGCTCAGAGATGAACCGCTGAACCAGATGCCTCCATTCAGCCGGTCCCCTCTACCTTTTTTAAAATAATAATAGTAAATACCGTCAAATGCATGGAACCCAAAATCAGGCAGCCACATCACAATTTCACTGAGGCAGTGAGGCATCCCAAACCTGCATCCAATTTAGAGAGATATGGGGAGCAGAAGAGGCAGAGGGCCCCCATATGCTCTTCCCAAAAACAAAACAGATGCAGGATATTAAGTGTGTGTATGTGTATGTGTGCGTCAGATGTATACACAGCCTAAAAGAGGTGATAGTATTGAGACATGAGGTGCAGCCTAACCTTTGGAAGGAAACAATCCAACTCTGTGATGGCCTTTCCTGTGTTGACACGCATGGAGAAACCTCTGGAATCAGATGGCATTCACCTTCTGATTCCCTATCATCGATGCCATTCGCTCACTATTATTATGATGGCAATGCTTATAGTTGGATATACAGAGTTCACAATTATTCTCACGATATGGAAGGGAGGAAAAGATTGATGTTAATATTACACAGTCTTCATGAGAGCCAGGTCGGCATAATTTTGCTGTATTCTGCGTGTTATAAATATGACTGATGGCAATAGCCAGTCTGTTGAATTACATTTACATATAGATTTACATTCCCATCAACATGTTATAATAGCACAGGCCTGAAGGTCTATACAAGTTGCTCAGACATGCATGCACCCACTCAGTGTGCACACACACATATTCTGACATTTCATAGCTAATACTTGTGCCTTATTGAGGAAGAGGAAGAAAATGCCTCGCATCCATCAGACTGACAATAGTCTATGTAGTGAAAAACAGTGCGAGGCCTTGCTGGATCTTTTGTCTGCGGAAAGAGATATGATGCCTCTGAAGTAAAGCAGCCCAGTTTACAATTCCACATCAACTTGAATAATGACATTTTATAATCACAATACACATTTTACAATAATGTAGTCTCGGGGTTTTCTCTGAGAACATAGAGCATGTGCAACCATGAGCTGATAATATTTTGCATAACAGTAGACTTCAACCAGCACTGTAATTCAGATCCCCTGCTTTTTGCAAATGTTTGGGGGCATTTTATTAGATAGAGGCAGTACAGAGAGCTGACAGGAAATGTGTCCAGAAAACTCCAGCTGGACTTGAACATCAGGTGCCATGACTACATGGTCAGCATCCCCAAAAACCAAAGCCACCAGGTCAACTCAGGTCTGTTGCTTGTAAGTTCAGTTCTGGCAGGATTTGTTGATGTGTCATTAGACCTAAACCAGTGGTTCTATATGATGATTTATGAGAGATGAGTCGACAGATGGAGAAAAAAAAAATCACCATCCACTATCCAACAAGCAACCAAAAACACAAAAAACAACAATGACAAAAGTGGAGATTGTAATAAATTTGCATTGCAGAAAAAAAACAAAAACCTGATGATGCCACAAGGGACTGTGACTTCCACATCCTTTGGCCAAAACAAATAAAGGCAAACAAATTTCTTAACGGCAGATTTTAGTCATTTAATGGGATCACGATGGGCAAAAAAAAAAACCCTCACAATTAAACTTTTTAGTAATCCTGTAATTTTAGAATACTTCTGCATGACAGCAAAAGATATGCCCCTTTTATGTTATCAGGATATATTCTGGGATTATTATAGCATCACAATCTTGATACGGGAAAAAACCAAAACCAGTCAAGCAGTGCGGAAAAACAACAACTATAATAATACAATAAAATACATTATAATAAAAACAAAATGCTTAAAGTTTGGGGATTTGAGTCCTGTAAAGTGGAGCCCTCCTTCTACAGCTACAGGTCTACAAAGTTTTTTTTCATACGACTTTCTTTTCGACTTTTTAAAAACCTTTTATTAGCTCTTCATAGCACTTGCAAAGACTTGTAGGCCCACGTTCATACACTGGACAAACACAGCTAACTATAGCTAACAACATGAATAAATAAATAAATAAAGAAAGAAAGAAAAAGATGAATTTCATTATTTCTGGTCAAGAAAAATGAAAATTGCCAAATCATTTCACGAAATATGCAAACTGTTTGTGTTCTCTGCTTAAAATGATCTGTACTAGAATGAGGTCAATGAATTCAAGGGGAACTTTATCTGTTTTAAAAATTCATACATGTATTCAAATTGTCTAAGACAGTATATTCGTAAAAATGAACAACTGTTTCCAAAATATAAAAACTACGATGCTAAAACTCACACTTATGATGTCATAGTGTCTAAAGTCTGGTGTGTTTTAGCAGCTGGAGGCAGCTTCCTGTAATTGTTTTTAATGAGAATGAAGCTTTTTGCTCGCGGTTTTTGTTTTGCAATGCACCTCTTGTTTCTGCACTCCAGGCGCCTGGCATTTTTGCTGGAGTGCACTGAGCTCCTCGAGTTGAAAAAACTTAAACTCAGAGTGAAAAAAGAGCCCCACGTCATTTCTTTTTTGTCATCTTTTTTTTTTTTTTTTTTTACCATTGTCCAATCGTATGATTTGCATTGGGTCTCCTGTGGTGGTTACGAAAACAGGTTTCAGTTGGTAAACAATGAAGGAAAAACTGGTAGTAGCGGTTACTGGATATCCAGAGCTATATGGCCTGACGATAGACAGCAGGTTGTCAAACTGCCCCCTTGTCGTCCTAAAATATGTCTGGAAACAGCCATCATGGAGGCGAAGCTTCTGGACCAAATGGTGATACTCCTTGTGATCCACTCTCTTTTTTAGTTTGTCATGTACCTACACAGATCTCCTTTTCCGTGTGCCTGACAAACTATTTGCTGACAGCCTCTTAACCTCATCCAGAGCTGGAGCAAGTACCATCTGCCTATCCATTTTAGGAACTAGCAACTAATTACTGTGAAAATAAAGTAAAATAGTGGTATTTGATTTAAAAAAAAAAAAAAGCAGTGCAGTGCACCTTGCGTTTTGCAACCTGCTTTCTGTTTGAACGGGGCCTTTGGCTACTTCTCTGGTCTCTGGCTTTGAGAGAGAGTAGCTCATGTTCACAAATACTGACTGAACTTTACAAAGCCACGGAATTAACATAGAGGGATTCTTGATTTCGGTGGTGTTCCCCTTAAAGGTGGTCCTTTGATTCATGCCCTCTGATATCCTGGCTCCAGCCCTGACTGATTTCCAGGCATTGGTTTTCTCTGATCATTCTAATCCAGAAATATAAATTCTAATAAAACAATATCCAGTATTTCCAATACTTACTGACAATTTGTTGTGACCACAGTCTGTCGTGATAGTCTTTAGAAGTATCACAAACAGTATAACCACTCATTAACGGTCTCATCAGGACGAAGCGAAACGTTACGGTCGGCCAACCTATTTTCCTCTGACGAACCCGGAAGTTGTTTGTCTGTCTCTGGCTGGAAGCAGGAGAGCAGCTCCGACTCTTGTAACCTCTCCTGTTTGTTGGACTAAGGTGAGCTCATGCTTACTGACATTGAATATGAAACACGTAAAGTGATGCATACACTGAGTAGGGCGACTTTATTTCCACGTATTTGTTTTCTTTCCTGTGTGTTTGTGACTGCAGTGCTTCCTTGTTTACATCCGACCGGCTGCTCTGCTGCTGCTTATAAACACGTGGACAGACAGGAGGGACACATGCTAACTGTCGACATGTGGAAGTCACCAGAAATAGTCACTTCAGCGACAGTTTTTCGGGTGCCTCTCAGTTTTGGGGCCAGTTAGTTAGTCAGTCACTTGGCAGTAGATTCATATAGAGCTAACGTGTGCCTCAGTCCACCTGCTAACTCGTTAGCATTTAGCTAGCCGGGGCTAACTCCAGTCAAAGAGTATACTACTAAAACTGAGATTTCGGCTGTTCTGCTTGTCATTGTAGTACTGATACTTGTGGGTTGTGTGTTCAGTATCTCATCCTGTCACTCTACACAGCGTGTATTTCACTGGACAGCCAAACTCCATGTCAACCAACAACACCTGCAAAACAGTGAATTTATCCATTTATTTTTTAGCCCTCCTAATATCGACGTAGCCGCACCGACTGAACACTAGTAATGATTTAATTCTGTCAAACAACACAATGTCCACACAGCAGACATGTCCAAACATTCAAACAATTGTGGAAGAAGTATTTAGTTCCTTAACCCCAGTAAAACTAGCAATACTACATTGTGTAGATACAGGCTAGCCTACTCATACATCACATTAAGTAAAAGTCAAGTGAAATGCTTTCAAATTTAATTTAAAGTACTGACAACAATATGTTCTTTCATTATCAAAAGTAAAAGTACTTATTACTTAGTGTTCCCTGTTATATTACTGTATTATTGGATCAGTAATATTGATGCATTAACATGCAAGCAGTACTTTAATGTAGAGATGTACCGATACCACTTTTTCCTTCCCGATACCGATTCCAATCCCTGAACCTTAGGTATCTGCGGATACCGAGTACTGATCCGATACCAGCGCGTAAAATAAAAATGGATGGGATGTGAATTGTTGTATGTCTCAACTCCTAAAACCCTATGTAAAATATTAAGAAATAAATACATAATAGTAGAATGAATGCCATAAAACTTTTTATTATTATTATTATTATTATTATTATTATTATCCAGTGTTGACACAGATCAAGACACAGGTTAAAGTGCAGCCACACAATTTGGTAAAAAAGACATTTTAAAGGCTACAGTAGACTGCTTTTTAAACTCTGCTCTGTCTCTGTTTCGTTTGCCTATAGTGTGCGTATGCGTAAAGACGTGAGGCATTACGTGGTATCGGATTGGTCATAGGCTGTACTCGATACCGATACCGCATTTTAGGCAGTATCAGAGGCATTTCCGATACTGGTATCGGTATCGGTACAACTCTACTTTAATGTTGTAGCTCGTTGAGCTGAAATTAATATTGGCTGTTATACATACGTTTCGGTAGTATGATGTATTGAAATACATCATATTATATAAGACTACAATCTGTTTTCTGTGTAAAATCTTGATCAAAACATCATTGGCTGTGAAATAACTGTGAAGTAAAAAAGTACAATTCTAGATTGGTCTTAAAGGTCCTACACTGACACACACATAAAGTAGGTTGGTGACATTATTCTGCTTAGGTTGATGGTGAGCAGACCTATGACGGACCCATTCACTTCAGTCAAAGCCATACAGTCATAAATGCGCGCACAAAATATGAGACTGATTGGTACAGTGGTTTGTGACATTAGCTGTGGAAAGATGGATACACACACTCATACACATGTGCACACACAACCAAACATGATCTGCTCTAAGGTTCCGCCTGGCATACATACCAACAGACAAATCCAAGCATGTGTTTTCTGCTTCAGTGCGAGCTCCTGCCGGCTCTGGCGGAATTGCAGGTTTGAGTTCACCTTACTTTGACCAAGCAGCTGTCCTTGGTTGGCCGATAGATTTGTGCTTGATGTTTGGAATTGTATACATATTAGTACATCAACAGTGGCATTGCTTAGGTCTGTCAGGACACTTCTTTTGTTGAACGTTATATTGTCCCAGAAATAATGGCGATAAATAATAATATTGTCATTTTAGACCGTTTTATGCCTCTGATATAATGGTAATATAATAATATAATAATGCAACTACACCCTTTCAAAGAGCAATGAACTTTTAATTCTTAAGAATACTGAAACATTATTGGAATGAGAAACTCTGATATCGACAGCAGACAAGAGGACAGAAGCAGTTTGACCAGTGATGACGGCAAAACGTGTCTCAGCATAGGTTTTTTTTTTTTTTTTGGTTAGGTGCTGCGAAAAATGCTTAGAGACTGTGCTTAAGTGTTGTGGTGGTCGGGAAAACCTTGCTGTTTATTCTAGCATTATGTTGGTGACATAAGTATGTAAACAAACACATGTGAACACAAGGGCAATATTGTACAATATATGGTCATGACAATCAATTTTGCTAACCTCAGTAAGTCAATAATGTAATTATTGTGACAGACCTAGCATTGCTCTCTCAGACAGTTTTCACGATTATGATATTAACTCATGTCAGAATTGTGGCATCACGTCCTTTTTCTGAGTTGAGTGCAAGGCAATGTCGTTAATTTCAGCAGTTTTGTTAATAAGTTCATACCATTTTAGTAGGAAAAGCACAGGTGTTATTAATAACATTAATGATGGCTCTGACTAATTCAAGTGTCCCAGCAAGTTGTAACAGTGAGCCAGCATGCACAATACCAGCACACTGAAACTGAGGCAGCTAAATTGAATTAAGTCATTATTAATTTTATGATTTAGACCTGAGCTTTTCTTACTGTGTCATGCCAAACTGTTTTCTGTGGCGAAGCTATGAGTTGTCCCAGTAAACAGGCGCAACAAAGCTAACAGGAGAGTCAGGGAGATGTACAGTCTGTATGTATACCCATACAGTCCTGTGCAGAGCTTTAATTAGGTGGCTTAATTGAACACACCTGAGCCTGGGGACCATGACTGTGCTGCAGCTTTACATTCCATTGCTGTAAAACACAGTCAGTCATTTGTCGGCTCCAGGTCTCTGTGCACTGCTAAAACTTCAAAACTGTCACTCTCCCTCAGCAGCCGGTAAGACTCTTCTTTCTGTCCCTTTAATCCCCGGCGGCCGGCTTGTGACCGTGTAGCGTGGCGTTTCTGCGGTGTGTGCGGTATGGGAGCCAATCATCTCCAGCCATCATGGCACAGACACGCAGGACTGGACAGAGCAATGGGCCGGTGCTCCTTCTCAGTCCAGTGTGTGTGTTTGTCTGTGTGTGTGTGTGTGTGTGTGTGTGTGTGTGTGTGTGAGAGAGAGAGAGAGAGAGGGAGAGAGACAGAGAGAGTTAGAGAAACAGAGATTGGATAAATTAGCAGCACATTGTGCGTATTAAAGAGTGTAGTAAGAAGATTATTTCACAGTTTCTAACATAATCATTTGAAGTCTGCCCCAGATTTTGGCTTATTAAAGTGTTTGTTGACATCTGACAACCTGAAACCTGGATCCAAGCTGTTTCGTAGCACCAACGCTCTGATAAAACAGTAAAGAAATCTGAGTGCAGCTGATCCATGCGTTCTCTCTCAGCTTTGTTAACAAGCCCCAATGGATTTCAGAACAAGACTAAAGTCTGTGTCCATCCTGTGATTGACGCTGGCCTGTGTTATTCCTCAGATCTGTAGATAATAGTTGACATGAGTGTATTAGCATGAGATGGATAGCTTGAAGAGGAAATAGTTCCTAGTAGTAATGTACCAACTGAATCGGTATTTATGGATAAGAGTGGCATATAGAAATTTGAAGTACACAGATTTTAAACAGTAAAACATAAAGACAACATTGGTATTTGAATGAGAATGAAAAATAGTCATCAGTTGCTGCCTTGAATGCTTTATGCTTTTGAAAATGGCTGGCATGACAGTGATATTAAGTTTGCATAAACAAAAGCAGGGATGCACCGATATCGGTCACACATCTGTATTTGCCGAAATTTGCCTTGTTGACTTCCATCAACCCATTGGCAGATAAGATGACATTCACCAATTGCTGTGGCCGATGTTTTTCTGTTGTGCCACATCAGTTTTGGCTAAAAAGCAGGGCTCAAGACTGATAGTGTCCCTTCCCTTTGAGATAAAAGGATGTAGTAAACTCACCATCGACAAGTCAGGGGATGCACCCTATTGTTTCCCTGATAATGCTACATTGCAAACAGCAAATCCGTGATGAAATCAGCAGAAGGAGAGCTAGTTAACATTAGCTTGCACTGAGGCACATTGAGGTACATTATGATGCATTCAAGTTTTTTTCAATACAAATGGGTATTGGGTGAAGTTAAATTATAATGTCATCATAGTGTGTTCAAATGTAATCCTGTATAATGTAGTTTTTGGCAAGAAACTTGAATAAATACAGCTGTTTGAAGGAGATATTTGGTAATGTTTTTACAGCAATATAAAATGCATACTAGAGAGGAACTTATGATGTATTATTTATAGTTAAATAGTTTTTTTTTTAAGTTTTTCCTGTGAGGTTGTTTGAAACAGTTCAGTTATTTTTCTATAATAAAGATTTCCTTGTTTCCCTGGCACAAAAGAGTGAATAGATAACAACAAAACAAAATAAAGACATCAACAACAAAACATCGGTATCAGCCTAGAATTTTACAGTCAGTGCATCCTTAAATAAAATTAAACTGGCCTATTCAAAAGAGTTTTTTTCCCCCAAAGTGCATTTTTTTACAAAATGATTTCACACTGCAGATATATGAATATTTTTATGTTTTACAACTCTAATAACTCATCTTTGTTTTGTGTGTTTTTATCCCTGTAGTCCGCTCCAGCCACTGAGCTCTCCATCTCCCCAGGTGTGAGTGTCGGTAACGTGTGTGCATGTGTGTGTGAATTGAGTGTGAGTGGGGGTGATGTACTGTGCGTATCAGGACCGGGAGGAGCTGGATGATGATCTCTATCAAGATGATGATGATGGTGACTCTGAGGGGTCAGAGGCCAACAGCGAGCTGGAGTTCCACCTCTACAGCCAGCTCCACTACTCCTCTAATGCCGAGGTGATAGAGGAGCAGGAGGACAGAGGGGAGAAGGCTGAGGGCCAGGACAGCCAGCAGCTCCAGGGGCCTGAGAAGACTGCAGATGTTGCGGAAAATAAGCCTCCGTCACCTGATTTGAGCACGTTACTGCAGACCCTGAAGAAGAAGAAGAAGAAGGAAGAGAAACTTGATAAACAGAAGAAGGGGAAAAGCAATTTTAAAGGTCAGAGGTCGTCATCATCATTTTTTGAGGAGGTCATTGTGATAGACTCCGGCCCTGAAGTCATCTCCATCTCTGAGGATGACACTCCTGATGACGACGAAGGGGTCTGCGCCTTAAAAGGTGGAGGCTTACAGCGACTGCAGACTTCCACCCCGGCCCAACAGGTAGAGAAAAAAGTTTTTGTTTTTTTTAGGTGGCTACAAACTAATTAACGCAGTGTTTGCTTAGTGCCATTTTATGTATGTGACACAAGGGTTTTCTACCCAGAAGTTATTGTAAATAAACATATTCAGGCTAGAAAGGCCAAGAATTGGTTGCCAATTTCTCAAAATGATTGCAAGAGACAACATGGCAGCAGTTACTGTTGAGCCCTGTTGCCACTGTAGCTTGTAATCTGTTTAGCAGACTTGCTAATGACTGCAGCTTACTTTAGAGCAGATGAACACACATTTTAATTCTATACTTACACTTTTGCTCACATGCTTTTGATATCGGAAAGGCTAAAAATAAAACACAAACCTCCAAACTCTTCAGATACTGGATGCTGTTCCTACTTGAGCCTTATGCACACCGCTGTGGAGAAATCCAAGGCTTGACAGTCCTGCTGTTTGTCCTCGACAGCTAATGCTGCTGTCACATCATATGGAATGGGTGGTAGAGATGGAAAGATTCACATGTTTATGATTTCTGTGCACTCACATAATCTGTCAACTTAAGATAGTTGTATGATTTCAGAATTTTTCTCGGGAGGGCTGCAAGTACTGTGCACTGGATAAAAAACACTATATCCATAGATTTAATCATGTTGAACCCCAGACGAGTCAATATGAAGCATCCATCTTGGATTGCCTCTTGTGGCACTTACATATTATACATGTAAAGTCTGATATATCTGTTTTTTCTAAAAAGTCTGTCAGATTGTGTCAGGCCATATGGTTTTGATCTAATGTTTCCCACTAAGGCCATATTGTGTTTAGTAAATTCTGCTGCTGTTTTGTCAAGTTACTTTCCAGTGACCAGTGTCAGCTAGGTGATTGATTGCTGTGGAGTGGTTTGAGCTGCAGCAATCGGTGAAGCATATACCGATGCTAGTAAAGGACTTACTGCTATAGCAGACCATTGCCCTGAAGTAGTACTCTAGCTGATGTTTTTTTATGTTGGAAAACAAGGAATAAGGTGATAATATTTTAAAAAGGCTTAACATGTTTCACAGAAATCAAGTGATGAGGCTTACATTGTTTTTTAAATTTGTCTTTCACATTTAAAGGTCCACTGTGTAGGATTCATGGTCATGTGGCAACACTGGTATATGATATTGATAACTATGTTTTGATACATTTATAATCATCTAAAAATAAGTTGTTGTTTTTTTTTACCTTAGAATGAGTCATTTATGGCTACATACAGAGCGAGTCAGCTTTATAGAGTCCCCCATGTTGTTGTACAGTAGCCCAAAATGGACAAATGACACACTGGCTCTAGATAAGGCCATTTGAGTTTTTACATTGGCTACCATAGTTCTGCTACCTCACTGCTAGATGCCACTAAATCCAACACACTGCACCTTTAGTTCATAGTTAGTAAGCAGATTGATCAGTTTAGTAAGGGATGCACAGTGGTGCAACTGAAAGCTTTATATTGACATCCACAACATGGTTGTTGTTTGTTTATCTAGGGTACCAAGAAAAAGAGTCCCAGTGCCCCGGTGACTGTGGCCTCCAGCAGCTCAGAGTCTGAATCAGAAGAATCAGAGTCTGAGTCTGACTCATCTGATTCTTCTGACTCGGACTGTCTGGAGAACTGGATGATCCTGGGTCGAGAGAAGCAGGACGGAGACCAGAGCATCTCACTCAACCTGGAGGGAGGGTCTGACAGCAGCGCAGGTGTGTCTTTGTTTCTGTGTGGTCTCATCTATCTTTGTGTGTGTGCTGTTTGTGCGGGGTGTGTTGTGCATTGTTCAGACTTTTGTCATATGTTTTTGTACGTCTGAATGTACGGAGAATGGAAGCAGTGAGTCATTTTGTTCAGTCCAGCTCATTCAGAACACTTAGCCCACCTGCAGCACATTGATAAGGAGCGGGCACAGCGATGGGCTACACTGTGAGCACTCTGTGTGTGCGTGCATGTTTGTATGTACATATGCAGCATCTCCGTCTGCATGTTTACGAATTTGTAAGCTCTTAGCATTCCTGGCACTGTCTGCCCAGTCGCTCGCTTCTCTGATGCATCTTTAAGTATGTTTGTGTGCATTATGTATTGATATGTGCGCGAGGGCTTGTGCAAGCGTGAATATTTGTGTTTATAAAATATTCCACTTCTAATCAGCATGCATGTGTACATACACGCGCATACCAACAGTCATAACGCTAATGCCAAAAACAAACAAACGGAGAGACAACAACGCAGGAGGAGAGGGAGGGGAGGTCGGGAGAGATGGGAGTAATCAAAAAATGAATAAAAATGTTCCCTGCAAATCTCTTCAGATCTACACATTATCTTAACCTGCAGCCTCAGCAACCTCTCCAGCAACCTCTCCTGCTCTCCCCCCTCCTCCTCCTCCCTCCTACCTAACTCTCTCCCATCTCATTCTTTTATCCTATTTTCTCACTATTGTGGTCTCTCTCTCCCACTCTGCCTCTCTCTGTGTCTCTCTCACCATTTCTTCCTCATTTGAATTTCCCTGGGCTGATGTTTCTGCAAGAGTGCTCACTGCCTCCTCTACACACAACTAGGCTAAAGGAGGGGGTCTGGAGCTGGTGGGAAGGCTTGAGGTTTTGGCCTGGTTTTGGGAGGAAAGGAGGATTTTAGGTCTCTGTCTCTCTTTCTCTCCCTTTCTCTCTCTCCCTCATCTGGCTTCTCTCTGTGATCTTTGGAGCTTGACCTCACGTCTGCACATGGGGGGTCATGGGTGTGGTGTGGAAGGGGTCTTAAAGTGGGAGGAATGGGGGAGGGTTTAGCCAAGAAAAAAAAGGAATTGAAGGCAAAGAAATTTGAGGGACGAGCCTCAATAGTCTTGAGCTGTAAGATAATTCGATTCTACACAGTAATTCTGAGCAGGCATTGATTATGTAGTGTGTGTTCACACTGGAAAGGACAAAATATGTTTTTCTTGTCATGAAGAATCCTATAAAAAGACAATGAATTGATCTTAACAATTAGTAGTATTATAGATATATCATAGAGCTCCACTGTTGTCCAGACACACACGTTCATTCGTTACAATGAACATAAGTACTGTAGTTTGTTTTCAGTCGGTCTTGCTGCTGTAAACACTCACTAGTGCAACAAATAGATGCTAAAAATCATCCCCAACAAATGCACTGTGTACTTCTGTTTGAATTGAAAATTGGCCAGCCATTTTTAAAGATTTAGGTCTTCAGTAGGAGCAAAGCTTGAGGCTGAGAGACAAACTAACACATCGTTTGTTTTAGTCTTTTTATATAAGCTGTTAGTAATAAGAAAAGTAAAGAATTCACCAGCTAGGGTTTCAGTAGCCCCCTCTACACTACCTCTTTAACGCAGGAATTTAATGCCTCACTGTTCTGTATAAAAGGTACAATCGCAGAATGGGGGGGACAGAGTTGTCTCGCCTTTAAGCCGGCACCAGAGGTAGTAACAGTGCCAAAACTATGTCTGTCAGCTGATGTTGGGACAACCGACAGGACGGAATTATGGGCGGTACAGTCGTGACATTTTGACTACGTGTTATGCTTGCGAACCATCACAGAGAGATTTAATAAAATAGCTGTTAACAGTTAGCATCTAACTCAAAAACAGTGGCAAAAAATATGTACATATTGAAACCAACGATAAGATTTGGGAGCTTCTTACCCTCCAAGCAAAGGGCCAGATCAGCCGCCATTTTACGGGGACAGTAAATGATTGTTATTGCCATATTGTGCCATTGTTATTGTTTAGACGGCACCGTTGACGTGTTTGTAATATGTCTAGAGGCCAACACTGTTCTATTACATTTAACTCCTGTCATGTCTTTTTTAATTTGGTGATGCTGGTATGCTGTCTAAAATCACACATAATATCGAGGTGCTCTTTCAGATAATTAAGTTGGTACATGAAGATCTGGGTGGCTACCACCTCTGCTTTGCTCTGGGGAAACCCCACCAACTGTGCTCTTCTAGTATATTCAATACTAGAGATGCACAGATCCAGCTCTCTCAGTTTCGATACCGGTCCCGATGCTGTGGCTTTGAGTATCAGCCGATACCTGATACCGATCCGATACCATGGTTAGCCTAAAAAGCTATACCTTTACATGTAGAACAGAAAAGACTAGAGGCATCAGGCATTGATGACTACACAGTTCTTTCCTAACATAAAATGAAACAAAATGAAACAGATTAATGCAATGATGAACTATTTATTTTTAACGAAAATAAACAATTGTGCAACAGCAGTGAAATACCTCCACACAGCAGATTCTCTCCTTTGCTCCATGACGTGTGACGTAGCTCGTGTCACAATAGATTTAAAGGGAAAGGATTGCCTCAGGTATAGGTTGCATTTTCCGATACCCGATCCATCTATTTTGATGATATCGGGGCTGATATTCGATCCAGATATCGGATCGGTGCATCCCTACTCAATATGCAGATTTTTAAAAAAATACGTTAGCTGCTGATTAAGACTATTTTCCCACAATGTATTGCACAAGAGAAGTGAAGGAGCTGGTCAGACCTGCAGTACATTGAAACGAAGTATGAATGGTGGTGAGATGAGGATGATCGTGGAAAATTATAAATAAGTGCTATTAAAGGTCGAGTGTGTAAGATTTAGTGGCATCTGCTGGTTAGGTTGCAGAACTGAAACTTATCCTGTGCTCCAAGCATGTGGGAGAACTACAGTGGCAGGCGTAAAAACATGAACAGTCCTATCTAGAGCCATTATATGATTTGTTTGTTCTAGGCTACTGTAGAACATATGGAGGAGGACCCTCTCCGTATGTAGATATAAACAGCTCATTATAAGGTTAATAAAACATGATGATTCTTATTTCAGGTGAATATAAACAAACAAATACATTGTAATGAATATTATATACCATTTCTGCCAATAAATGCCACTACATCCCACACATTGGACCTTTAATCTTTGACAAACATTTGTCTTTCTGTTTATGAAGTGTGAAATTGGCTGAGGGGTTTAGTGTGGACCAATTAGTTGATAAGTATTTTGACTATTTTGATAGTTGAAATATTTAGATTTACTTGTCAAGCAGCAGTACTGAGTATTTTCTGGTTCCTTAGATGTGAGGGTTTGCTGTTTTTTGTTGTTCTATATATTGTAAACTGAATATCTTCAGATTTTGGGTCGTTGATCGAGTTAAACAAAACATTTGAAGGTGTCGCCTTCATTTTCAAACATTTTATAGAATGAATAATCAATTAATCGAGAAAGTAATTGTCATATCAATCGATAATGCAAGTAGCGTTTCAAAATAGCTGTTTGATTGGTGTCAGTTTCCTTACATATTGCATCATTTCCCTTCAAGTCAGCATAGTAAGTATATTGATCGAAGTAAATTCATTTAATGTGCACTTACTGCAAACACAGTATAGTATAGTATAGATATTAGTGTATAGTTCAAAGTGAATACAAAAGGTTTGCTATATGGAAGTAGGATACAGTTTTGATTATTCCTCCTCTTGTCCTCTTTGCTGGTGGAGGTTAAATTATGCTTCAATCCGAGAGAGTACACTGACTTATTTTCTTCTTCTGGGAATTTGTTCCACATACCCTTTTTATTTTACGTACAAATGGAGAGAGAAGGCCAATTTTAGGTTGAATTTTTATGACTACAATAACCGTTACATCCATAACCAAGGGCTGTTGGGTAAATATAAAGATTGATTTCTGTTTTTATATGCCATGTTATGTGTTGACTCCTGTAGCTTGAGAGCCCGGCTTGCCTTTTTCACATTTGTATGTGTGTGTGTGTATGAGTGTGTGTGTGAGTAACAGGTTTGCACAGCAGTGACTAATAGTATTTGTACGCCTAAACCCCATCTCAGCATCACCATCAAATCACATTCACTACACTTAGTCTCCCCCTTTCACCCTACAGAAATTGAATCCTTTCATCCTCTTTCTCTCTTTCTCATTCTGTCTCCCTCCTACATGGTGTCACTTGTTCACATACTTTTACAATCTAATCTTTTTTCACTCCATCACATATGGTTTTTATCAAATACACGGACACACACACACACCGATGCACACACAGAGCCCGAGTAGCTATCTGTCACCTGGCCGTACAGGGGCAGCTGTCGGTGGGTGGATCTGTAGGGACACTGGATAAGGAAAAGAGAAAAGATAGTAGAGAAAAGGGGGATGAGCGAGGGCCGTCTGCCTGTCCGGCAGCCATGCAGCAGCAACCAGATGGAACAAGAGAGAAAAAGCAGGGCTTCCCAAAATCCAGCTCAGTGCCTCTCTCACCCGGAGAGGTGTGCGTGTACATGCCCGTGAATGAATCCGGGGGTGTAGGCGGGGTGTGCTGAAGCTAAACTTGAATCGTAAGTGGTTAAACTTCACTCAGTGGTCACACTTTTTTTTTTCCTCTTCTGTCTCTGTCGCTCCCCCCAGTTCTCTCCTTCGCTTTTTTTGTCCCCTCGGTCTTGGTCAGTGCACACCAAACTTTGTTTGAGGCTTAGAGAGTCAGCTCTAGCTCGCTATCGGGGTGGCCGATCACATCAGAGTGTGTGTCTGTGTATGTGTGTGTGTGTGCTTCACTGAAAGTCTTAGTGAATTAGAGAGAAAGAAGTGTGTTTGTGTGCCTGTATCCAAAGGTTAACTCTCTCTATCTCTCAGAGGAGGAAGGTAAGCTCTATTCTCTCCTCTCCTCTCCTCTCTTCTCCTCTCCTCTCCT